GCGCTAACCTTTAATTTTAATTTCATTGTTAAGTTCATATATTAAAATATATAATGAATTTTCAAATTTAGATATTAATATTTAATAGAATAATATTTCAATTTCTAAATTTATGTTAGAACTCCAATTATTTTTAGGATTTAGGATTAATATGCGCTAACCTTTAATTTTAATTTCATTGTTAAGTAAATGAATTTAATTAAAATATTGATAAATTAAAGGTTAAATTTTACTTTTTCAATGCAAATTTATTAAAAAAATATATTCATAAAACTTTTAAAGTGTATCTTAAAAGTGAAAATTAAAAAATGATTTTTCTAATTTGAGTACATGTTAAGAAAACAACTAATACATATTTTTATCATTACGTTATATAAAAAAATAAAATTTAACTTTAATTTTAACAACTAATTAATTAAATTAAAACACGTAATATTAATATTAAAATTAATATCAACCTTTTTGTTTTTTTATATAAATTAATTATTAAAAAATATATTAATTACATTTTTAACCTATGCCATTAAAAAAGTCCGTTAAAAAACATTTTGAAATAGTAATTGACGAGAAGGACTATAACATATGCATTAAAAATAGAAGTTAAAAAACTCATTAAAAAACCATTTTGAGGTATTAACTAAAGAAAATTAACAAGGCCAAACAAAAAATGGAATAGGGTTGGTGATCCCTAATAATGTGGTTATGTATGGAATGAGCTTCACTGGAACAAAACCTTAAATGCACTTGTAAACAACAAATATATATTTAACATGAATTTTAGTATTATTAACTGTGAGTGAAAGTACTTGTGGTACTACTAATTAATTAAAGTTGATAGACTTAACAAGGTGCTGTAATCATTTGTTCTTAAAAAAGTAAAAAAAAAAGAAATGGAGAAATGGGGTTAATTTGTACTAAACGATGTTGTTTAACAAAATAGAGAATGTCTGATGTGTTTTAGCAGAGAAGGAAAGGATGTCTGATGCAGTGAAAAGAAAAGAAAAGAAAAAACAAGCGGGAAGTAAAGTGAAGAGGTGACATGTATAGTTTAAACGAACGGGAGACACGGCGGGCTCTCCACAAAATTTTTATCGGCCCAAGAGAATATCACACTGGCCCACCTCCTCATTCTGCCTGGATCACGTGACCCACATTACCTTCAACCTCTGCTCCATTCCATATTTTCTACGAGTAATTTCTCCACAGTATATTGCCAGAGGAAACAAAAATCCAAGTACTAGTAATGTAGTGTACTATATTTTCATCGACAACATGATCGCTTCTTTTTTCTTTCTTTTTCTTCCCTTACCCTTATCTCATAAGGAAGTCATTATTAATACT